TGCGACTTACAAATTAGGCCTTCTTAGACGTTCTCCATCTTGGTCTTACATGGCGAGCACAATCTGGGGAGAGCATACAATCTTGCGCTTGACATCCGAAAGCAAGATGGCAACCGTTTCAAGTTAGTTCTGGGCCCGGACGACACACTGAAAAAGGGACTTTAATTCTTTGCATATGCGTGTAGACAAAATTACACAAGATTGAATCGGAAAGCGTTGAGCCAATTCTAAACTTAGATCGTAGTTAGATGTATTTGTATGAAGTCGTGCATTCCCTCCTTTTGTGGTTATAATTTCATCAGTAAAAACTGATATTATAAGTTCATCGAGGTTTTAGTTAGCAGTAACTAATTGTCTTGAATATAACAGGGAAAGATGAAGAAGGATGTGATGCAGTAGTAACGTATAAAACTTGTTTTAGTTTTTATTTCCATATTTATTTTTCTCACAGGCGATTTTATTCTTTTGGTGGGCTCCATGTTTTTGTGCTTCCGGGTTCGAAATGCTCCATCAGCCTACAACGAAACCAGATTCATTTCTTGGGCAGTTTACAATGCCATGTTTATCACGTGTTTTGTCGGCGTGTTGAGGTGAGAAATCTGAATTTCCCGTTTTCAGTAACGCGTACGCACCATATTGAAAATGAGAATCAGGGATTGCGTTTGGCCATGTTTATGGTATGAAAGGTGATAGACCTAGTAGTTAGGAGGTAAAGAAACTGGACATGTCTGAGCTAATACGATTCTAATACTGATTTCCAATACTAGTACGAATCTGACAGATGTTAACTTTGAACTGCGGAGAAAGAAAGTGCGGAGAAAACAATCAGGCTTGAACGGGATTCGAACCCATGACCTCTGCGAAAACGGTGCAGTGCTCTACCAACTGAGCTATCAAGCCAACTGGGAGCTGGTTACGTTATGAATTAAGTAGTTTTCCCCCTGAATGATATGCTAGTCCGTCAGAGAATAACCCCAGCTAACGAATCGTCTGCACACACGCACCCTTCATTCATTTGTTCATTTGTTCGTTCTTGTTTACGCATAGGTCGCATGTTTCAGGGACTGTACGCAAGCTGATCGAGGCATAAAAATACGAAGCTGATCGAGGCATAAAAATACGAAGCGGATCGAGGCATAAAAATATTTTGTGGCGAAGACAATTTTTAAGAACTTTGCACACGATGCGACATTGAAAATTAAGGTCATATTGTCCCAGCTTCATAATTAATGTACGAATTCGAACCAGCTAAATTTCATGCAACTTCTGTGGCAACAAAATGTTGTCCCGCAACAGAACCTTCTCGCCAAAACGGGTATGTCATAAGAGGAAAACTGTCACTGCAACATGTTCCCGCTCTATGTCTCCGCAACACGCCCTTTAAAAGCTGACTAGAAACTAGCTATGTATATGTATGTGGGGGTTAGCTTTTGATCTCTTTGTCTTAGGATTCTGACAGTCAACAACACCAATCCCGACATTCTGTTCGCGACGGAATTTATTCTCATCCAGATGACGGCTACCGTGACGATATTGCTGCTGTTTATACCAAAGGCAAGTTTCATTTTGATACATCGAAAATGATGTAACTTGAAACATCTAAATACAGTAAAATCCCGCTTGTTATCGCCTTCATTTTTTGCAGTCCGGCAAAATAAGTTCTTGTATTTTGGGGTAGTTATTGTCAATTTAGGCTTAGTAGGTTCTTCATTTTTATGACGGAGATATAGTTGTTAATTACCGGATAAATAAACTTGGGTTTGGTCCTTAAATATCCAGTATGTATTCACAACTCTTTTGGGTATTTTCTTGTAATTAATTTTTAAATTACAAGAAAATTTGGGTCACAGTTAAATTATGACAAGCCGGCACTTTAACCAGGGAGTGAGACTACAAAGTTTTGTCCACATATAAGAACCTGCTTGATCTTACTTGGCTTAACAGGTTCTGATATTTTTGGGTTTTAAAATGGCAAATTTCTGCCAGCAGGTTCTTAAACCACTAGGTTCTTAGACGCAGTTTTTACTGTAGACCAATCGACCAATGAGATCTCAAATGTGTTAAAAGATACTTAAACTTGCTAAAAGTGCTTTTAACAGAGTATGTTTTATTGTGTTTCGGTAATATTTTATTTAAATCAATTTTGATTTTTTTGGTTTTAATTTCTTAACAGTTCGTGTTATTACGTAAGATAAGTGGACAAGAGATCAGTCGGCGATTAACTGGCCATCCGAGAGGTTCAATCCAGACCCCTAACGGCAGTTGCTTGAATGATGCGGCCACTTTGGAGAGAGAAAACGAAGATTTAAAGGTAATTTACATTTAATGCATATGGTATTTTTTTCTCTTTTTATACAGTGATATTGATGAGAATACCTTTTCGAGCACAAGAAATGTGACACCATTTTGACGATTTCAACGTACATTGTACGAATAAATTTAAATTTTCACGGAGAGAAAGAGGGGTGTCAGCCATAGTAGGCAAGCTAAGGTGAACAATTGAATAGATGTCACCTATAGAAGTACATAGATGCATTCTTACAAATTGAATTTTGGTTGTGGGAAGCGAAAGATGATATGTTTTTCACGAACAAGAACTCACGAGCACGTTGACAAAGCCTGACGCAAACACGAAAGTAGTTCTTTGAGTTGCACCATTATTTAGCTGGTGTAAAAGAGGAGTGACTGCATTAAGCCTTGTTAAAGCCTGATGCAAGGTTTTGGCAATTGTTCTGAGCTAAATTTGTGCAACGTAGTCATAATGGTGCGTGCGAAGCTTTCTTATCAGAGCGTACGTTATATAACCCGCACAATTTTTGTAACAAACGAGTTCTAGATCCATGATCACGAATTTGGAGTTTACCTCAAGTAAAACTAAGGTGTACGTAATACTACACGAGGCTCTGATCTACTGTCAAGCCATGAACTATGTTTATGTACATGCAATCAATCTCCCTTTTCTCCTTCAATAAATATTGCGAGATACAGGGCTCGTTTTCACGTAGACATATCCCGGAATAATCACTTTCTTTTTGTGCAGGATGAAGTCAAGAGACTGGCTCTAAAGGTGGCCTATCTGCATTCTTGTCTCATGAAGGACAAAAATAAACATTTAAAGAGTGCTAGCAACAGTCTTTGTCGAGTTCGCGCCGCTACCATGGATGACTTTAACGATAGTACGCTGAAAAAAATGTCTTCATCACCGGTTTCCAGGTTCCTGAGTTCGCACGTCTGAGAGAGGACTAGGGACTAATTTTCTCGTCATTGCCTGCCGGTGTTTCGATGTACTTTTCATATCGCCCGGTACGGGTTGCTGGATGCACCGCCTATCTAACACATCTCTAAGAAGTTTAAAAAGCTCATTTTGAATCCTTTTGTTTTAGAGCTTAAGGTAAATTTTTATATTACTGGCAAGACGCTGAGATCAATTGGTAGCAATAGGCACCTAAGTCCTTTCACAATTTAATTTCAACCCAGTCAAGTGACCTTGTCAATCACAGAATATGTCCGT